GTAGTAAACTGAGTGCTCCACAAAGCTGCAGCACGGGTTCATTTCTGTGCATGTGTTCGAGTTACACTCGACACAGTTGTAAGTTATGGAATTATCTCTAATCTCTTCTCTAATCTCTAATACTCTAATACTATAAAGGAAGGAGCGGGTCTTGCGTGACGCTCCCAGCAGGCCCAGTGAAATTCGGGCAGGGAGGTCCGCGTGCGGCGCAGGGGACCGAGGAGGACGCGCCGGTCGGGGAGGCCGGTAGCTGGGACGGGCGGCATCGCGTCAGGGGGGGATGTCGGTTGGAAGCGCGCGGTCTCTTCTCTATCTCTATCTCTAATTCTATAAAGGAAGGAGCGGATCTCGCGTGACGCTCCCAGCAGGCCCAGCGAAATTCGGGCAGGGAGTTCCCCGTGCGGTGGTGCAGCGGACCGAGGAGGGCGCGCCGGTCGGGGAGGCTGGTAGCTGGGAAGGGCGGCATCGCGTCAGCGGGGGGGTGTCGGCTGGAAGCACGCGGTGCCACAGGGGACCGAGGAGGGCACGCCGGTCGGGGAGGCCGGTAGCTGGGACGGGCGTCATCGTGTGCGAGGGGGGGTGTCGGTTGGCGGGGCCGTGTTTGCACGTCGGGTTGCGGGGCAGCGCGTCATTTCCTGCGGGTGTTTGCATGTCGGGTTGCGGGGCAGTGCATCGTTTCCTGCGGGTATTTGCATGTCGGGTTGCGGGGCAGTGCATCGTTTCCTACGGCTGCGCGAATGGGGCACAAGCGGGCAGAGGGCCGGCACCGACAGTCGAGCCGCGGAGACTGGACCGAGCAAACTGCCGGCGGGCGAGGGCGCACTCCCGCTAGAGAGAGAGAGAGAGAGAGAGAGAGAGAGAGAGAACAGTAAGTCTCCAATCTCACGGAGAGAGAGGGATAGGTGGAGGGAAGCCGGGATCAGGACATGTTTGTGTTATGCCCCTGTCACGTGAGTATGCAAATTCGTTTGGCCTTTTGCAGTTGCGCCTACGAAAACTTGGCAACTGCCGGGGCAGTTTGCAAAGTTGGGCAGTGTCCGGCACGGTGCGTTGCAAAGATGGAGTCCAGCTGATGTCTGGCCTGTTTCGCAATATGTTTTTGTCATCGTCCTCCGCCGCACCGTGGCTGCGGCAGGTCCACTTGTAATAATAATAATAATAATAATATAATTATAATTATTATGTGCCATCTGCCACGGAACCCCTTACCTGTAGCTTGGAAACTCGAGTCTTGACGTCCAACACTCGAGCCCCAAAATCCAGAACTGGAGGCCTGGAACATCAGTCGCGCAAGGACTTTCACTGCCTTGTCGTAACCTGTCTGTCCGTTGCGGCAACCCCCTGGGTGATGGATCATACGATAATGATAACCTACCTGCTAGGACCTCATGTCGGCCCGTTCTCCTGAATGTCCTCACTGTGAGGGTCAACCCCCTGAAAGGATGACCCGGCTGCTTCTGCCATTTTGTGTCTCTATCTGTCTGGCTGTTTGTCGGATGGTTGTTTGCATCAGGATCAGGACGTCCCTGCCGCTCCTGTTAGCCTGTCTGTCCATAGAGGTCGTCTGCAGCCGGGTGTCTTTTCTCTCTACGCAGACGATTCCTTGTTGGTATATAAAAAACTCACGGGGTGCATACGGAGAGGCCAATCACATTTATGATTTACCTGCGTATGTCTCTGCTTGCATCTAAAGAGGATGGAGACAGACACGCACGCAAGGGCACACAGATAGATAGATAGATAGATAGATAGATAGATAGATAGAGAGAGAGAGAGAGAGAGAGAGAGAGAGAGAGAGAGAGAGAGAGAGAGAAAGAGAGAGGAGGAAATAGCGGAAAAGCGAGAGCAGAATACAGCGTTATTGGCATAGGAGTTGAGGATTGGAGTAAGAGTAAGAGTTTGGGAGAATGTGGTAGTAGGGGCATCCTCGGTGAAGTGGATAGAAGTATTGTTGTTCGTATTCAGGAAACCTACTTAACGAGATGAGCATCCCCGGTAAGTAGGCCCCGGCGTCGAAGGCTCCATTTATTGGTGGGGAGCTACACCTGCTGGAAATCAGGTCCAGCGTCTCTGTACAATGACTAGGCTGAAAGTTGTCCCAAGTATAGCTAGCTATAATGAGCGGGCGTTCTATTCAGTCTTAGGTAGAAAATGGAAATCTGGCAGTATCCAGTCACAGGGTGCTGGAGCAGGGTGTGAGCGGATGTCAGCAGTGTGCTGCAATGGAAGTGACGGAGGCGGAGCGAAAAGAAATAGCTAGCATAGTACATAGTTAGATCAAGGTTAAGTCAAAATGAATAGAAAATATCAACTGGGCTCATGCCTGTTTTATCATGCTGCCATTTAGACTCACGTACGTTGGACGCATTTAGGCACACAGAGTCTGATATGATACGTGAACAGCGACCAGCGACATGTCGCAATGACTCGCATGTCTCGAACAGCGCGCGGAAGAGAGGTGCTGGAGTTCTGTTGGATACTAAGTACCGTCGTCACGCGTCGTGTACCCAACAAAAAGTCACATGGTGAAAATCGGAGATCCAGTAGAATAACCTGTCCTTCAAACAGGCATTAAGGTAGGTCGGGCTTTCGCTCCGCCAGGGTGGGAAGAACTTTAGAGGAGTCCGGAAGAAGAGAGGAGAGGGAGGAGAGAGAGGAGACGAGGGTTGAGGAGTTTGTTAGGGACTGAGGGAGGAATGAGTAACGTGTTAATGCTATTGATGGTTTTTACGAGTTGTTCTTTTTTTTTTCAAATAGCTCTTAGGGTGAAATAACTAAACTGAGAACAGCAACCATGCAACGTCCGGGAAAAGGTTATGCATAGCATTGCATATCCAGTGGAAGGGGCCACTAAGGCCTCCTTTTGGGTACCGAAGTAAGTCACAGGCCCGACATAATTACTAGTAGTTATTTATAGCCGCAGCGAAACCGTCGTCTCTTTGTGTCACTGTCACCCCCCTGCGCCCAGATACGACAGTCGTGGATCGACCTGCTACTTCATCACGTCCACGGCCAGGATACATGCGGCTTCAAAGTTTTAACTTTGAACCACATACATAGAGCAAGATCACGTGGTCCTTCTTCCTCCAAATCCACATCGGCCATCCATTCTCGAAAACGCCGGCGCATGCGCTCACGGGCGCAAGAGGGGAAGCGAAGGGGAGAGAGAGAGAGAGAGAGAGAGAGAGAGAGAGAGAGAGAGAGAGAGAG